TGATGTCTCTTGGTTTGTAGAAGGCCTAGAAAGTTGGTTTTTGGATAGAAATACGGGGGGGGGGGTTTGATAGAAATACAACAGCTACAGTAATCCCTTTAAGATACGCGCCGCCATGGACCGTGGTCAGTGTGGAATATTCAACGTGGCACCGTTCCTCGAGTGTGCCTCACAGGGAAAAGATAACTCGGAGTGCTGTCGACACAGAGGCATTGTTCAGAAGACGTGAGTTTCGAGCTTTCAGAAAATTTCTAGAGAACAGCAACTTAAATTTCTGAATAAACCGCTCTCTGAGCTTCAAAAAAAGTATAGGCATGTCTAGGCTCCGCTTTGAATTTTTGAGGCTCACACTTTGAATTTTTGAGTTTAAAGGCGCATATTGGTCGGAAATTCGAAATTTCTCAAAATTAGGTCATGATTATACTCATTTTGAAGCTCTGAACGTCACAAATTCAAATTTTCCAAAAAATACTTAATTTCAAATTTCCAGTGGTCCACAATGTGAGCAATTTTGTCGTCCCGCACAAGGACTATCAGCTCTGGGCGTTCAACATATCGTATGTGGAAACGCCGTTGGCGATATGCTTCATTGCCATCATTCTGGTGTTCGAATTTAAAAGTTTTATCGATTTATCGATTTTTTAATTTCTGTACACTTCTGCCGACATATTTTATATTTTTGCCATATTTTCCTTTCTATTCTTTTTTGTGATTCTAGTCATCTTTTTTTTCATTTTCTCTTTTTTCTAATTTTCATATTTTCAACTCTTGGTGATCTCTGTTCCAATCGACACTAATATTAATTGTTTATTGATTTTGAAAAAATAAATTGTGATTTTTTTGTTTTTTTTTTTTAATTAGGTCATGACCTAGAAAAAAATTGGGTCGTGACCTAAAAAAATCTAGGATATGACCTGGAAAAATCTAGGCCATGACATGGAAAAATCTAGGACATTACCTAGAAAAAATTAGGTCATGACCTGGAAAAATTAAGTCGTGTTTCCCGTTTTTTCCTTCAAATTTCACGTCGATTCTTTTAGTCAAAAAAAAGCATTTTTATAACTTTTTTTTATTAAATTTACAAAACTTTCAGAGAAAAAAGTACAGGCAGAAATGACTAGAAAAGCGTGGGGAAAAATCACAACTATTTAAAAATACATATAATTAAATTTTACGGGAAAAATATGTCACAATTGAAAAAAATAAAAGTTTTACATTAAAAAATGAAAATTTGGCAATGAGGAAGGAAAGAGCACTTGGGTTCAAGCGAGGGGGTCAGAAAGCGCGCCCCAGTAAATTTTTCAAAAATTCTCAATTCGCTGCCGAACTTCGTTGGCTGAGTATCACAGTTTTAAACGATGAGCGAGAATACGCGCGTTGCCACCCGTTTATTTTTAAGAAATAGATCATGATCTAGTTCAAACCCGCGTTCATTTTAAAATTATTAAATTTCTTCTGGTCTACGAGTTTGCTGGGGCGCTTTTTCTGACCCCCTCGCTTGAACCCAAGTGAAAGAGAGGAATAAATAGGGAATAAACGGCACTGAAGGAATAACTTGGCGAAATTCGAAATTTTTCAAAAATTTTGGGGAAAAATCCAAAAATAGTGGAAATTTAGTGCTCGCCGAAGACATAAATTGGCGAAAAATACAAGAAAAATTTGAAAATTTTCAAATATGGCACAAAAAAGATTTTTGAAAATCCCAAAAACGGCTCAAATAGCCTTATAAACAATGTACAAGAACATGAAAGCAAGCAAAAACGAAACAATTAAGAGCAATAAGCGATTCTGAATCGCACGACGAATCATCGATCCCAAAGTCTTGTTGGCTCGTCCCAAGTCGGCATTCGATTGGCGAAGACGATCCCGCGATCGGCCGATTGTTTCTCGTTGACTCGCCAGGTTGGACAGCATCTCCGTGCCGATCTGGAATTTTCATACTTTTTTCAGATTTTCCAGAAGTATGGGACCGTCGCAGACGCGTCGCGGCGATCGCCAGCAGAGTATCAGTTTGGACGATTCGCGTGTCGGCGTAGCGGTAAATAGTAAGCGACTCAACAACTTTTTCTTTGAAAGCGCTCCAATTCGCTAAAAAATAGCTAATAGATCTCCCTTAAAAATCTCTAAAATCGCTAAAATCGGCTTTAAAATTTGTGAAAATCGCTGAAAATCGTTCGAAAATCGCCTAATATTGCTGAAAATCGCTGAAAACCGGTTTTAAGAATCGCGATAAATTGCTTAAAAATCGCTTTAAAAACACTAAGAATCCCTTAAAAATTGTCTAAAAATCGCTTCGAAATTGCTCTAAAAATCGTTTACAAATCACTGAATAGTCATTAATCCCTAAAAAATGCTAAAAATCCGTTGAAAAATTACTAAAAACTGCTTTAACTTCGTTTAAAAATCACTTTAAAATCCTTGAATATCGTTAAAATTGCTATAAAATCGCTTCAAAATCACTTTGAAATCGATTAATAATTGCCCAAAAACCCTAAAAATCGCTAAGAATGATCTCGAACCTGCTCAGTCTCCACTGCAATCCGATGAGCATCTTGTACCCGTCGAGTCGATCGCTCCAATCTTTGCGTATTGGCAATCAGCTGATCTTCCTGCCGATCAGCGTCCAACTGATCATCAAACGCCAATAATTCATCTCGATCGGCTTCTTCTCTCACTCGTCGAATCGCTTTTTCTAGCTCCGAATCCAATTGTTTTTTGTCAGATTGATAGCTTCGAACGCGCAATTCGTATTTTGTACGTTCCGTGCTGGAAAAGAAATGGTGGGAATTTGAATTTTTACAGAATTTTCGAAAAAATTCCAGATTTCTTACAAGATCTGAATAATTGTACGGGTGTTTAAAACATTGTTTTTTCGGAATTTCTAGAATTTGTTCCGATTTTTTTCAGAATTTTCAAATAATTCAGAGAATCTTTTTGGATTTTTCGGCGAAAATCGAAAGTTTTTCTCGAAATTCTCCGTAATTTTACGTTTGTTTCCCCGGATTTGTAGCAAAATTTTCAGAAAAATCGGATTTTTGGTAGTTTTCCCTTTTTTTTTCCTTACGTATTCGACTCCAACTCTCTGACAACCAACTCCATCTGATCCAACAAATCGTTGACTTCTTCCAAACTTTTTCGGATTTCCTGTACGGCGCCGGCTCGTTCAGAGCTCGGCAGAGTGTGAACTCTTCCGATTTTTGATGTGATTTCGGCGGTTTGAAGCGAATACTGCTTCTCGAAACCGCTGAGCTGTTCAACGGTTTGCGACATTTTTCGCCTAAAAAATTAAAGAAAAATTCAAAAAAAAATCGGCTCAAAGGTATAATTTTGAGCTGGGAAATGGATTTAAAAATTGAAAATTCCAATTTTCGAAAAGCAAAAACTAAAAAAAAATCGATTTAAAGGTATAAAATAGGTATAAAATCTGCCTTTTTTCGTCAGAAAAATCGAGAAAAAATCGAAAAAGAAGAAAAAAACACTTTTTTTTTCAACAATAACAAAACAAAAACTAGGCTAATTTCAATGGGAATTTTCTAGAACATTAATTAGGCACGATAATGGGCGTAGGCTCGGTTCGCTTCACACGTCTTGTGTAGCTCCTGTTTCGCCGTAATCGTCGATCCCTCGTTTTGGCTGGCGGCGAGAAGCTCCGTGGCGAGAATATCTCTGGAAAAATCGATATTTTTAGGATTTATCAAACTTCAAAATTTTCCATTTCGAAAATTCAAAAAATTGAATTTTTGCAAAATTTCCAAAAATCCAAGAACTGAAAATTCGGATTTCAAAAAAATTGTTTTTTGGAAATTCCGAAATTTGAGAAAATCTGAAAAAAGCTGATTTTAATGGAAAATCCGGAAAATCCGCAAACACTGGAATTGACGCGCAAATTCAAAAATCCGGTTTTTAGAGTCAATTTCTCACTTGAAATGCGTTTCTCCATGCTTCGCGCGCACTCTACAAATGTCCCGCATCATCTTCATGGCTCTAAACTCCGCCTCCGGCTCCTCAATCGGGAATGGCACCTGATAGGTGGTACCACCACGTGTCACGCCTTGTAGCTTCATCAGTGGGTGGCAATTCTGGAAATTTCGGGGGAAATTCAAAAATTTAAGCTTCTCCTCACCTTAATTCCCTTTCTAGCAATCACAAAAGGGTCCAACTCAATGGATTTCTTCTCTTCGTCGTTGGCTTTCGTCCACGCTTTGTACTGACGACGCTTGATGATTTCCAGCGCGCTGAGCACATTTTTTCGCGAAGTTTCTTTTTCGCCGTCCTTGGTGCACACACGGATTAGCTTGTCGATCTGGAAAAATAACAATTTTCAATTTAAATTCAGCTTTTTTTTAATATTTCTTACAACTGAATCCCGATAGAAAACCGGCGTCGCGTCGCTTTTCATGGCTTTTAGAAATAGGAAATTACGCTCATCGTCGACGTCAAGCGGTTTTCGGAGCTGGAAAATCGGAAAATAGCTTTAAATTTGAAGCTTTTGACTTTCCAAACCTCTTGGACATTGGAGACGGGCTCGCGAAAAACTCGGGGGTCATACATGTTAAAACTATTACTAGAACATGAAATCCATCGCTTTTGTGCGAAATTAGCTAGTTTTTTGCTCATTTTCCTTGAAAATTGACTAAAAATCTAGGGAAATCAATGAAGCCTCGTGGTTCTCCGTATTTCGACACCTGCTCTCTCTGCGTCTCTTACTTCCACATACTCTCTCGCTCGCTAAACACCGCGCGCCTGGAATATCGGAGCATCGTTGCAATCTTTCTTGAGCTCATTTTCTGTATTTTCTAGCTGTATTTCTATCGTTATCTCGCACAAAAGGCATGTTTCCCCTTCATTTTTCTTGTCTTTTTCAGTGTAATAAACCAGCACCACCTCACTTTTCGTTCGACACCACGTCGCGCTCCCCACAAAATGAGCATGTTCCAAGACGATGATATTTTAATCGATGATTATGATTTCGACGATTATAAGATTCAATATGCTGTAATATTTCTGTTTTTTTTTTTGTGGTCTTTGAAGTGAAATTTGGACTTTCGGCGATTCAAAAAACAGGTTTTTTTGGATTTTTGCGAAATTTTCAAAAAATTGCCTTTCCAGCCTACTTGTAATCCGGGCTTTTGCCGGGCCTTTGCAGGCCCTGCCATAACTTCTTTCAGAATCAATGTTTTCGAACCAACTCAATCAGGTATGATAGAGCTCGCCGAGTACTACAAAACGGTATTATTTCGAATACTGCATCTTGTCTATGAACAGAGTTACAGAGCAAAAGAAGCAAAAAAAAAGCAGGCCCGCCCCGGGCCTGCTGGGCCCTGCGAGAAAAGCCACTTTATGATCTGTAACTTTGTTCATAGATAAGATACAGTATTCCAAATAATACCGTTTTGTAGTACTCGTGGAGCTCTGTCATATCTGATTTAGTTGGTTCAAAAATATACATTCTGAAAGAAATTATGGCAGGGCCCGCGAAGGCCAGGATACAAGTATGCTTTCCAGTCAAAAAACAACAGAAATTCCGCACGTTTTGACTGAATTTCCTGTTTTCCGGTCTGAAAAAAGTCTTAAAATCCCCAAATATTGTTCAATTTTTCGAAAAATTCCGAATTTCACTTCATTCAGATAGTTTTTCGGCATTTTAAAACATAGACCCAATTTCTTTCGTTTCAGTCACTAAAAAAGACCCAAAAATCCCCAAATCATGTTCAATTTTTCGAAAATTTCCGATTTTCTCCGAATTTCACGTCATTTAGATGATTTTTCGGCATTGTTAGACATAAAAAACCCCCAAAATTTCACATTTTCATTCAATTTTTCTTCCAGATGAGACCAGAAATCCACGTGTCCGGCGATGACGTCGAGATGGTCACCCAGCTCAAGAACTATCTCACAAAGCGTCTCAAGTACCTGCTCGATATGCCAGGAACCATTGGCATCGGTGTCAGCGGCGGATCGATGCCCCCGATCTTCACGAAAGCCTTGTTCGCATGTGACGCAGATCTCCTCAACTGGAAGCGAATTCGAATTTTTATGGTCGACGAGCGATACGTGGATAAGGACGACGAGCAGAGCAATCTGGGCACCTATTTGAAGCTCTTCCCACCAGAACTTGCCTATGTCTTCGTGCCAATCCCGATTTGCAATGATCTAAGTCTCACTGCTAGACTCTACGAGGACAACCTCCGCAGAATTCTCCTTCCCGAGCAAAGTGGCACCAGCCCTCGCTTCGATTTGCTGTTCCTTGGATGTGGACCCGATGGGCATACTGCCAGTCTCTTCCCAGGAGATCGTGCAGAACACGTCACTGAATACGGATGGGTTGGAGTCGTTCAGGATTCGCCGAAACCGCCCAAAACTCGAATCACGCTGTCTTTTGCGTCTTTGAAGTTCGCCAAACACTCTGCCTTCATCATTACCGGAGCACCGAAAGCCCATGTGGTCAGAGCGATTTGGGATCGCGACAACACTCTTCCGGCGTCGATGGCGCGCCCGTACAACGATCGATTGACGCTGTTTGTGGATGAGGCTGCGGCGAAGAGCTTGCCGTCACGTGATAGCTCAGAGGAATCGGATTCTAGAAGCCCACAGCCGTTTGATTGATCAATTATCGATTATTTATTCATTTTTCCTATCCATTTTTCTTCTCAAATAAAGTCTGTAAATTTTAGTCTTTTGTATGTACTAAAGGATGGTTGTTTTCCGGTGTTTTTTCTGCTAAAAATTGGCCTAAATAGGCCAAAAATAAGCCGAAAATGGAATTTTTGGTGAAAGGGAACGGTAGTTTTTAAAGGAACATGGTTTGAGGAGGTTGGGTCTCGACACGAATTCATAAAATATGATTATTTCTTGTGTTTTTTACGAATTTTTCCAGAGAAAATCATGGAAAAAAGTCGAAATTTGGTGAAAATTCTTTATATTTGTCTGTTAATTTTAGTTTTTCGACTGTTCTAAATGATAATTGTCTTTTTTGCTGCAAAAAAAAGCAAAAAATAGGCCAAAATCAAAAAAAATTCGAAAAGCATACGGTAGTTTTTAAAGGAACATGGTTTGAGGAGGTTGGGTCTCGACACGAATTCATAAAATATGATTATTTCTTGTGTTTTTTACGAATTTTTCCAGAGAAAATCATGGAAAAAAGTCGAAATTTGGTGAAAATTCTTTATATTTGTCTGTTAATTTTAGTTTTTCGACTGTTCTAAATGGTAATTGTCTTTTTTGCTGCAAAAAAAGCAAAAAATAGGCCAAAAATCAAAAAAAATTCGAAAAGCATACGGTAGTTTCTTTAAAGGGACAGGCTTTAGAACTTGATTGGGTCTCGACACGAATTTATAAAAATTGCTATTTTCATATTTTCAACCCTTTTTCGGCGAAAATCGTGTGAAAAGCCGAACTTTTGTGGAAATTTCTTGAAAATGTCTGTGAATCTTCGTTTTTTTTTTGCCTGTTTTGAAGGATAATTGTCTTTTTTCTGCGACGAAATTCAAAAAATAGGCCAAATTATGAAAACTTTTTGTTTGAAAGGATTACGGTAGCTTTTTTAAAGGTACATGCTTTAGAACTTGGTTGGGTATCGACACGAAGTATCAAAATTTGTTTTTTCATTTTTCCACTGAAAAAAAAATAATTTCCACGAAAAAAATTCGCTCTCATTTTCAGCTCTCCCATATGCCTCTTATCATAGTGACCGGTCATCCCGCATCTGGAAAATCTACAATCGTCGATCGTCTGGCCCAAAAATTCTCCGAATCCCAAAAAGAGTGTCAAATCATTCGCGACGACGCCTACGGCAGTTTCTCGCGCAAAAACTACGAGTTCGCGAACAAAGAGAAGGATCTGCGATCGTGGATTCGTTCAGAAGTTCAGCAGAATTTGACAAAGAATAAAGTTGTGATTTGTGACGGTCTGAACTATATCAAAGGCTATCGATATGAGCTGTTTTTGGCTGCCAAAATGAGCAAAACGACGTATTGTGTGATTCAAGTCACGCCTTCTTCTGACACGTGTCACTGGTTGAATGAGCAGAAGCCTGAAGGGGAGAGATATTCAAGGGAAATCATTGATCAGCTGTTGATGAGATACGAGAAGCCAGATACCAAATTTCGATGGGAGCAACCACTGTTTGAGGTCAAAATTGGCAAGGCTGAGAAGTGAGGAATTTTTGAGCATTCTCATTGATTTTTTGTTGTTTTTAACCCATAAAAGCGGTTTTTGTTTTCTGTATTTTCGCCCATAAGAGCGGTTTTTTCTCGATTTTTCAAGTAAAAATGTTTTCAGAGCCCTTCCCACTGAAATTGACGATGATATGAGTATCGATTTGGAATACCCCGCGCCGAGATTCGCCAACATTTTTGACGACGAAATTGTGGAATGGATTTGTAATGTACGCGATTTTAGTGAATTTTAGTGAATTTTAGGGGTTATTTTACTAAAAAATACGCCTAAAAATTACGATTTTTGCAGATGTTTTTAAGGCTTTTGCTATTTTTTTTTGGGTTGTTTGGCTTTAAAATAGGCTTAAAATCTCAAAAATCACCATTTTAGCAAAAATTTCAGGCCCCCCCCCCCCGATTTTCAAAGAGATTTTTGTCCGCAATTTGGTTTTAAGATTTATACGATTTTTGCGATTTTCTGTTTTTTTTTTGAGTTATTTGACCTGAAACTTGTTTTAAAAATCGAACCACCCGAGATTTTTGTCGGCAATTTGTCGTGTTGGTGTTCGCAGAAATTTGTTTTTTGGTACAGTAAGAATTTCTGCAATCACCACTACGACAAGTTGCGGCCAAAATTTTTTTTTGGATTTTTATGTATTTTTTTCAGGCATTCTTCATGTTCGGAAACTATTTTTTTTTCGATTTCTAAGCCAATTTTCTAGTTCCAAAATTGGAAAAAAAATCGCGAAATTGTTCATTTCCAGGGAACCCAGCTAACCGAAAATCAATCGACCCAAACTGTCCCGCTGGCTCCAACCAATTTCCTTCACGAACTCGATCGCTGCACACAGGACGTCGTCACCGTGCTTCTGAACGCTCAACGAACCGCCGTCCGCGGTCAGAATCTCACGATTCCCGGCGCTTCAGAAGGCTCGAATCAAGTGAAATTTTTGAAATTGCGAACGCTTCCGGAGTTGAATAGGCTACGTCATCAATTTGTGAATATGTCAAAGAAGGATCCAATGTCTGATAAGGAAAAGATAATTAATGGATTTGTAGACTTTTTAAATTGTAATTTGAGATGATTTTCGACTTTTTTTTGTTTTTTTGGTTGTTGACTCACTTTTTTGTTGTTTAATTTAATTGCAAATTCTTCATTTTTTCTTTAAAAATTTCAACAAAAAAAAGAAAAAAGTTCTACTGAAGGGACTGCTCATAGACAGTCAAAAGAGCTTCCAACTCAGGAATCGCCTGAACTGCGCTCAATTTATAGGGATTCGAATTGCAGAAGGTTATCGAGGGGAACGATGATTCGTCCATTCCAATATTCAAATCAATCAACACTTGAAATGAAAAATATTGGCGGACAGTGATGGTGATGAGATAGACGAATAGAACGGCACTGATGACGAGGATAACGGACCAGAGAAGGATTGTGGGCCACTGGAAAATTTGAATTTCGGCTCGAAATTGGAGAGGAGCGCGCACTTACTGAAAGAGATTGAGCCATGTGAGGGACTCCATGCCACGAACACGACAGGCCCCACTCGTGTACAGCGCTTTTGGTTTTCCTGGGAACTTTTTATAGATTTTGGGAGTAAAAATTCGGATTTTTTGAATTTTTTGGAGTAAAAATACACGCCGACCGGAATTTCACAAACGAAACTGCTCATTTCGGTGGAGCGCAATCCCGCCCACCTCTATTTTTTCACTTTTTTCCCTGAAAATGTTCAGAATGTTCCGTGTTTTTTGTTCATACAAAGGCTTAGAATGAAACTTCTTGTCGTAAAAAGGTGTTTTAGCCTAAGCCTAAAATATAGAACAAAAAACCGAATATTCTGAAAACTTTGCAGTGAAAAAAGTGTAAAATTTGCTAATATTTGGGAATTTAAAGACTTTTTGATTGGAGTTTTCAGATTATTTTGCTTTTTTGTTTGAAATTTGAGGCTTAGGTTTTAACACCCTGTTTTTTTTCTAATGAGAAATCTGTAAGGTTGTGCCGATGCGATGGTCGATTTTCCGAAACAAAGTATCGTTTGATCGAAAAAATGAAAAAAAGGCAATTACTCTTTGACTACACCACTCTTTGACTACACCTACTCTTTGACTACATTTATCTCTTTGACTACACTTGTCTCTTTGACTACACTTTTTTGTTTTATAGTACTTTTTGACTGAATTTATTGGAGCTTCCGTTTTTTGTCTCATATTATAGGCTTAGGCTAAAACACCAGTTTTCCGATAACCGTTTCAGCCAAAGCCTTTGATTTGTACAGAAAATAATAAAATTTTGGAAATCTCAGCGAAAAAAGTGAGAATTTTGCTGATTTTCGCGAATTTCAGTACTTTTTTCACTGTTATGTATTTTTAGAATTGTCAGTTTTTTGTTTAAAATTATAGGCTTAGGCTCAAATTCTTCTTATATTCTGTGAGAACGCCCACAAAAACTGCAGAAAATTAAAAAATTTTTTAAAGTGTAGTCAAAGAGACAAATGTAGTCAAAGAGATTTTGTAGTCAATGAGAATGTGGAGTCAAAGAGTGGTGTAGTCAAAGAGTAATTGCCAAAAAAAAACCGGGG